TACCTTGTCCAATTAAATTAAGATACAAATTCACTTGCAGAGCAAAAAAGATCTTTCTTGATACTGAATTGCAGGAGGAAGCTGCCTCAGTGTGTTTTGTGGTGGTGAATTACACACACAACTGAAATTGTAGAAGCTTCGAATCCGTGGCTTTCGCCCACGGCTTTCCCTTTCCCAGGTGTCAGGATCCCAGCTTCTTCATGAGTCTCGTGGGAATTCCCCAGACCCTTCCCTGCTCCCTCCACAGCTCCCTCTGGAGCACATCCCTGTGCTGGGTGGCCCCCAGGTGAGCACCTTTCCAACTTGGGTGGTCTCCCCTCCCTCCTCAGGAGTGCCAAAACCTACAGCTACATGTTCTCCCACCCCTCTCGGATGCCCATCTACCCCAAATGGGTGGGGGCTGACCACGCGGATGACATCCAGTACGTCTTTGGGAAGCCCTTCGCTACTCCCCTGGGCTACCGGACCCAAGACAGGACGGTCTCCAAGGCCATGATTGCCTACTGGACCAACTTTGCCAGAACTGGGTAAGACAGCAGTGAGGCTGAGCCCAGAGCCCCCTGCCACCTGGCCCTGCAGGCCTGGGTTCCAGTCCCTGCTCCCTCACTTACAATTGACTTCCTGGATCCTCGGTATCTCTGTCTGTCTGGGAGGACGGGGCTACTGCCCAGGCCCCGAGATCAGCACCTCTTGGGGTTCCATGTGCCCAGCCAGGGCCCAGGCACCATATAGTGAGGTACCCTGATGGTAAGGGTCAGTGCAGAGGGTGGGGGACTGTCCAGGCAAGCCAGGGCCGAGATGGGCTAGGGACACAGGTCTCCAGCCTCCTGTGAGCCCCCAGCCCCCACCCAGCCTTTTTCCTCCCTGCAGGGACCCCAACATGGGACATTCAGCTGTGCCCACACACTGGGATCCCTACACGGTGGAAAGTGGTAACTACCTGGAGATCACCAAGAAGATGGATCGCAACTCCATGAAGCAGCACCTGAGGACTAATTACATGCAGTTCTGGACCTTGACCTACCAGGCACTGCCCACAGTGACCGGAAATGGGGCCTCCCCCGCTCCCCCCTCCGGGGATTCCGATGCCACCCCCACCCCCCACTCTGGGGACCCCGATGCCACCCCCACTGCCCCCTCCGTGGATTCTGATGCCACCCCCGCGCCCCCCTCGGGGGACTCTGAGGGGGCTCAGATGCCCATAGTCATCGGCTTCTAATGTCCTCGGCTCCAAGAAGCCATAGGGTGAGACCTGGGGGACCCACCTCCCCTCCAGAGCTCTTCCTGAATAAAGCCTCATCTCTCTCTATCTGGCGTCTTCCTTTGCTCCCGAGGCCCCAGCTGGAGGAAGCAGCGCTCTCAGCTCTGTTCAGCCCCAGGCGCTGGGCCGACTGCCTTTCCCCACGGTGTCCATCAGTCCTCAAGCTCCAGGAAGTCTGGAGAACCCCCTCATTCTAGAGAGGAGGAAACAGGTTTGAAGAAGTGAAGTGTCTGAGCAGGACTGGGCTTCAGGTGCCGGTCCCTCGGCCCTGGACTGCTGGTTCCCAGGGGGCAGGACGGGCGGTGGCCACAGGTGGGAGAGCAGCTGGCCTCTGCGGGCTGTGGCCTCCCCTGGACCGGTGGAGCCCAGCCACACCAAGTCCTCTGGGATGTGGGCAGTGACCTCTGTGTTCTAACTGGGGTCTGGGCACCTGGCCTGGGGGGAGAAATGGACTCAGCCTCCAACTGGGTGCACATTGAAGAGAGAATAGAGCATCACCCTGGAAGGTGAGAAGCACAAGGTGCAAGAGGGCTGGGCATTGGGTGGCTCTGGCAGAATTGAGGCGCTGGAGGCGGAGGTCGGAGTCAGGGCCATTCCCACTGGGCATCGGGCATCATGCCGAGGGCTTGAGCAGCCTGATGTCACCGTGGCCACAGCAGGTGGGCACTGAGAGGGGGTCACATGCCCCAGGTCATGAAACTCCAAAGCTAGTGCTCGAAACGATGCTGGTAGGGGGCGTCTTCCCCACCCCTTACTCATTCTTTCATCTCAGTGGGGTGGTGCTGAGGGCTCAAAGGAGAGAAGATTCTGGAGTTCTGAGCGGCTCTGCCTGATGCGGGTGGGGCTGGGGACAGCAGCACCCAGGAGGCAGCCGGCATGCTTTCCCTCTCTGGCCACAGATGGAGGACCGAGGTCTGGGGAACTGAGTCCAGTGGCCCCACGCACTGGAGCTACACGGGGCAAACCCGTCCCCCCAAAAAGCAGGGTGCGCTCAGGCCGGCCTGTGACCACGGTGGCTACCCTGGGCTTCCTGGCTTGGTCAAGGGCTCTCAGGTGTGAAGAGAGGGTTCCTTGTCACAGACTGCGGGGAGGGACCCTCGTGGCAGTGTGGGCCTCTCCTGGTGACCGTCCCTGCCCTTGGCCAGTGGAAGCACAAGGACACAACAGTGTGTCCCTCCTCTGCCACGTTAGTATGCACACGACTTCTCTAAGTGTTTCTGTCTGCTCTCGGGAGGCACGGCAGGAGAAACTTCTCGGACCCCAGTGCCTTCGACCGGCCCTGGGATTGGGCACTTCTAGCCCTTGTTGGGGGTAAACACAGTCGTGCCTACCTGTCATTCAGAAAATCGCATCCCTGGAGGGCCTGGCCACGTCAGAATGGCTGGGGCATCGGGATCCAGGTGTGTGCCCAGCCCCCGGGCTGCTCGGAGAAGCTCTCTCTGGCAGAGGCCAGCCTTGCTGTATGTCTGGGGGACACCTGCCGCTGTCGGGTCATCCCACAATTCATCGGGCTTTTGCCTTTACAGCCTGTAGCCAGAGGCTGAAGTTGAAAATACAGCTGAGCCCTGAACAACATGGGGGCTAGGGGTGCCGACCCCCCACACAGTCAAAAATCCCTAACTTTTGACCCCCCCAAAACTTAACATCCAACAGCCTTACCGTTGACCAGAAGCCTTATCGATAGCATACATGATTAACACATATTTTGTGTATGTATTATAAATTATCTTCTTACAATAAGTAAGCAAGAGAAAAGAAAATGTTCAGAAATTCCTAAGGGAGAGAAAATACATTTACAGTCCTGGACTGTAGGGAGAAACACCCGTGCGAAGGGGGCCCCGCACAGTCCAAACCGGTGTTGTTGGCTCAAGGGTCAACTCGGCTGACTGGTAACTGTCCAGGGTCCTGGAGGCTCCCTGCGGGACCAGGAGTTAACCCTTTATGTTAACCTTTAATGGTGAAGCCCAAGGAGGACACTTGGGGAAGCCGAGGACATCACCTGTTTACCATTTCCTTGGTGGGGCTGTGCCCCTGGGTGGGCGGTCTTGGGATTCCTCCCCCCTCCTTCCCAGGCCTCATCTTTCAACCCACCCTGCAGGAAAGGTTCGAACCACCCACCTCCTCCATGACGTAACCAAATCACAGACCTGGACAAAGAACACAGCCATCCCAGGGGGCTGCAAGCTCTAAGGGCTCTGGCCTAGCTTTTAGGACAAGTCGGTACCAACAGGACTGAGGCCATAAGCTGGTGACTGCCCGATGCAGTGGACTTCAGAACCACATGGTCCAGGAATTCATCTTGGCCAGTGAAGGGGGAGTGGGGTGGTCTTTCACCAGCACTCAGCAGGGATTCGTCTGACCCCAGCCAGGATGAGTGCCCCCCATGTGTCTGGCCGAGAGAGGTGGGCAGGGTGGGGGCTTCTGGTGTGTTTCTGGGCAAAATCAATTATATGTGGAGTTGCAGGGAGGCTGGAAATCCTAGTTCATAGGTAGCAGAAATGCTTATGGAATAAGGCTCAGCTGGAGCCTTAAGGCTGCTTTACAGATCTTTCCCCTGAATTCAAAGCAAGCAGGAGAAGGTTTAAGGACAACGGTGAGGTTGCCGGGAGGATTCCAGTCCAGGTAAAGGGCGGACCATGGGCCCCTGGAGAGAACAGAGGATGCCAAGTACTGCCCGGCCATAGTCCAGTGGCTAACAACCTCCCCCTGGCCTTTGCCCACCCACGTTGCATGTTTTGATCTGTTTACAATCCCCACCGCCACCACTAAATGCTGATGGAATTCAAATTTAACCCTGAAACCTGTAAGTTCCTAATGGGTGGTCAACGGAAACCCCAATAAAACAAGCAGAAAATGTTCCCCCTTCTTCCAAAGCTGTAGAAAGGCAGCCACCATACTGGGTCAGGAAATGCAAATGTTATTGTTTAAAAACCAGCATAAAATATATACAACATAAAATATGCCAATTTAGCCACTTCTAAGAGTACGATTCAGTGACATTAGTGCCGTTCACACTGTTGTGCAAACATCACCATATTGAGTTCCAAAACTTTTTCATCACCCCCAACAGAAACTTTGTACCCATTAATCAATAACACCCCAGTCTCCCTTCTCCCGTCCCCCACCTGGTTGTCTCTTCTACTTTCTGTCCCCGATCAGTTTCCCTGTTCTAGATATTTCTAGATATACCTGCAGTGGGATCACAGTGTTTTCAAGGTCCATCCATGTTGTGGCATGTATCAAAACTCCATCCCTTTCAACGGCTGGATCGTATTCCGGTGTGTGTCTCTGTCACACAGTTATTCATAGCACTTCCTTACAATCCTTTTTGTCTCTGTGAGGTTGGTAGTAATGTTCCCACTTTCATTGCAGATTTTAGTACCTCTTTTTTTTCCCCTTGGTCAGTGTCGCTAAAAGGTTTGTCAGCTTTGGTTGTTCTTTTTCTAGCTCCTTCAAGTGTATCATTAGGTTACTGATTTGCAATCTCTCTTCTTGTGTAATGTCGGCATTGGCAGCTAGAAATTCTGCAGAATACTGCTTCTGCTGGGTCCTATAACACGGTATGTTGTGTTTTTGTTTCCACTTGTCTCAAGGCATTTTCTGACATCCCTTGTGATTTCTTCTTTGACCCATGGGTTGCTTGATTTCCACATACTTCTGAGTATTCCCGTGCTCCTTCCGCTGTTCCTTCTGCTTCTACTCCACCTGATTGGAAAAGATACTACAGGAAGTTAATCTGAGGGGAAGCAAACAGAAAATTGTGGAGGTTTTGGTGGTGTGCAACAGAGGAACATGGCTCAAGAAACTAATCACAGCCAAGTGCCTATGCTTTGTTCCACTGGCTGCGGATTTTATGGAAACCCTCGTACAAACGGCATGTGTTCCGTGTGCTATAAAGAACATCTTCAAAGACAGAATAGTAGTAATGGTAGAATAAGCCCACCTGCAGCTTCTGTCAGTAGTCTGTCTGAATCTTTACCCGTCCAGTGCACAGACGACAGTGTCCCGGATGCCCAGTCACCGCTAGACTCCACGTCTGCATCTGTGCAGCCAAGCCCTGTATCAAATCAGTCACTTTTATCAGAATCTGTAGCATCTTCCCAAGTGGACAGTACATCTGTGGACAAAGCAGTACCTGAAACAGAAGACCTGCAAGCTTCAGTATCAGATACGGCACAACAGCCATCTGAAGAGCAAAGCAAGTCTCTTGAAAAACCAAAACAAAAAAAGAATCGCTGTTTCATGTGCAGGAAGAAAGTGGGACTTACTGGGTTTGAATGCCGGTGTGGAAATGTTTACTGTGGTGTACACCGTTACTCAGATGTACACAATTGCTCTTACAATTACAAAGCTGATGCTGCTGAGAAAATCAGAAAAGAAAATCCAGTAGTTGTTGGTGAAAAGATCCAGAAGATTTGAACTCCTGCTGGAATACAAAATCCTTTGACCATCTGCAAACTAAAAATTGACTTGAGGGTTTTTTTTTCCTAGTCATTGGGAATGTAGAGCAATGTATCTTGCATAGACCTTTTAATCATGCATGTCATCAGAAGAATAGATTTTTGTTTTTGTTTTGAAAATGACTCTGAACATTTATTTCCATTGCAGTTTCTGTGGCTGAAAAGACTTAAGTAAACTTTACAAGTATTATCCTTTTAAGATCATTTTAATTTTAGTTGAGTGCAGAGGGCTTTTATAACAAACGTGGAGAAATTTTGGAGGGCCGTGATTTTTCCAGTATTAAACATGCATGCATTGATCTTGCAGTTTATTTTCTCATTGTGTGTGTACATAGCTTTTCTCTGCAGCACGATCTCTGTTGATGGTGCCCCTCAGGGCACAACTAGTTACCAGTCACTGAATGTATCTTCATCCTTACGGCTGCTTCTGGGTTTTCATTAACAAAGGTTCTACATATGTTAGCATATAGTTTCTTTGCACCCACTATTTATGTCTGAATCATTTGTCACAAGAGAGTGTGTGCTGATGAGATTCTAAGTTTGTGTGTTTTTAAATTTTTTTGAGCGAGGGAAGGAAAAGCTGTAAGCATTTCATTGCCGACTGCAGGTTTCTTTCAGATTACGTTCATTGGTCTGTGTGTATACAATATGAAGAATGATTTGAAGTAATTGTGCTGTATTTATGTTTACCCACCAGTCTTTGATTAAATAAAAAGGAAAACCATAAAAAAAAAAAAGATACTACGTATGATTTCATCCTTTAAAATTTATCAGGACTTGTTTTGTGGCCTCACAGATGGTGTGTCCTGGAGGATGTTCCATGTGCACTTGAGAAGCCTGTGTGCCCTGCTGCTGTTGGGAAGGGCTCTGTGTCTGTCTGCTAGGTCTCACAGAGTGTGGTTCAAATCCTCTGTCCATAGCCATCTTCCTGTCACCTGAATTCTTCTAGCCATTATTGAAAGTGAGGTAGTCAAGTCTGCAACTCACTTCAAAGATGTCAATTTTTGCTTTAGGGATGGAGGTTTACAATTGTTATTTTTTCCTGATGAATGGAAATTTTTATCGGTGTATACAGACCTTGTCTCTTGTTACCTTTTTGACTTAAAATCAATTTTGTCAGATAATAATATAGCCACCCAGCTGTGTACTGTTTTTGTGGAATATCTTTCCCCATCCTTTTACTTTTAAACTTTTTGTAGATTTTTTTCAAAGTGAGTCTCTTTGAATACAGCATATTTGTGGAGTGTTTTTTTTTTTTTAATCCATTTTGCCAAACTCTGCCTTTTATGTGGAGAGTTTAACCCATTTATATTTAATTACTAATGACTTCCTTCTTCTTTTTTAAGATTTTATTTATTTATTTGAGAGAGAGAATGAGATAGAGAGAGAGAGCATGAGGGGGGGGAGGGTCAGAAGGAGAAGCTGACTCCCCGCTGAGCAGGGAGCCTGATGGGGGACTCGATCCTGGGACTCCAGAATCATGACCTGAGCCGAAGGCAGTCGCTTAACCAACTGAGCCATCCAGGCGCCTGACTTTCTTCTTCTATTAGCTATTTGTTTTCTGTATGGCCTATATGCTTTTTGTTCAATTCCTCCATTACTGCTTTTTATGGATTTAGCTGATTATTTTTATATAAAGTGCACCCTTTTTGATTCCCTTCTTCCCTTTTGTATCTATTTCTAAACAAAGATTTTCTTATTGGTTACCTTTGGGATTGCAATTAACATCTTAAACTGAGAGCAACCTAGTTTGAAATACCAGCTTCACCCAAGGAGGACACTTGGGGAAGCTGAGGACATCACCTGTTTACCATCCTGGTGACACGCCTATTTCCTTGAAATACCAGCTTCATTCAGTAGTATACACTCAGCTCTTATAAATTCCCAACCCCACTTTGTGTGGTTACTGTCACAGATTATATCTTTATGTATTCTGTTCCATTAACACAGACTTACACTTTTATTTATTTATTTATTTATTTATTTATTTATTTATTTATTTATTTATTTAAAGATTTTATTTATTTATTTGAGAGAGAGAATGAGAGACAGAGAGCACGAGAGGGAAGAGGGTCAGAGGGAGAAGCAGACTCCCTGCCGAGCAGGGAGCCCGATGTGGGACTCGATCCGGGACTCCAGGATCATGACCTGAGCCGAAGGCAGTCGCTTAACCGACTGAGCCACCCAGGTGCCCTACACTGTTTTATAAATTTGCTTTATACATTATAGAGAAAAAAGAAGGCGTTACAAACCTAAAGTGAAACAATACAGGCTTTTATAATGATCTGTTACTTACCTCTACTCATGCTCTTTATTTTTCATATGGTTTTGAGTTACTGTCTAGTGTTTTTTCGTTCAGCCTGAAGGGTTAGCTTGTAGGATTTCTTTTAGGCAGGTCTACTGATAACAAAATCCTTTAACTTCCTTTATCTGAGAATGTCCTCATTTCCCTTCACCCTGAAAGGGTAGTTGGCTGGATACAGATTTCCTTTTCCTTTCAGTACTTTAAATATGGATAGGTCATCCACTGCCTTCTGGCTGCCATGGTTTCTTTTGATCTTATTGAGGACCCCTTGTACATGACCGCTTCTTTCTTGCTGCTTTCAAGATTTTCCCTTAAGTCTTTCAACAATTTGATTACATATATCTTATATCTCGGTGTGGATCTCTTTGAGTTTATCTTGCTTGGAGGCCACTGAGCTTCTTGATGTGTAGATTCATGTCTTTCATCAAATCTGGGAACTCTTTAGCCATCGTTATTTCAAATAATCTCTCTGCTCCTCCCTTCTTCTGGGACTCTCGGTATGTAGATGCTGTTAATATTTGATGATGTCACCAACTCCTGGAGGGGACTGTTCATTTTTCTATTCTTTTTTCCTTTCTGCTCTTCAGGGAGAATGTCAATGGCTTTATCTTCAAGTCCACCGATTCTCTCTTCTGCCTGTGCAAATCTGCCATTGAACCCCTCTGGTGAGTTTTTTCATTTCAATTGTATTTTCAGCACCAGAGTTTCTATGCGGTTCCTAATTTCTCTTTATTACATTTCCTATTTGTTCTTACACTGTTCTCTTGTGTTCCTTTAGGGATTTTTTTCTGTCTGTGCTTTCCTTTAGCTCACTGAGCATATTTAAGACAGTCAACTTAATGTCTTTGACTAGTAACTTCAACGCCTGGACTTTCTCAGGGAGTTTGCCAAATTCTTTTTTCCTACATACCAGCACTGTTTTCCTATTTCTCTGTATGATTTGTAAATTGTTGGGAACTGGATGTTGAGGATGACAATGTGGTAACTCTGGAAACCAGATTCTCCCCCTCCTCTAGGCTTACTTCTGTCATTCAAGACCTGCAGTCTTGTTTCTACAGTGACTTTTCCAAACTGTATTGTTCTGCGTATTCCTTGTTGTTCAGGGACAGAAGCTTCTGTCCTGCTGCCTTGGTTAGTGTGAGGCCCGGCAGAGATCCCCTTAACTGCTGAAGTCCCACAGCTCTGTTTGACATCAAGCACTCCCCTGGCTGTTGTGTTGGATGAGGTTCCAGAGTCCCCAGATGGTTCATTCTGATCATTTTCTCCCCCTAGCCTAATGGCCTCCATGGAGAGACTGACCCTGGAGCTTCTTATTCCACAAATTTCCCCTCACCAATGTTTTTATTTTTAAAACATTTCATTTATGAAAGAGAGCACGGGCAGTGGAGAGGGGCAGAGGGAGAGGGAGCAGACTCCCTGCTGACCAGGACCCTGAGATCATGACCTGAGCTGAAGGCAGATGCTTAACTGACTGAGCCACCCAGGTACCCCACAAATGTTATTTTTAAAGACCCAAGTTTCAGGGCTTGCTGGTACGCCCTGTGAAATCACCTCCAACCTCAAATCCCAGGAGTGCTGATGGGCTGAGCCAGCTCAGTGCGCAGTTAAATGACACTGAGGCAAGCATCTGCTCTGTGAAAGACAGGCTTGCATGTTTCCTTAAGTGAGCCAGAGAAGGGTGGCTGGCTCTTCTCGCTTCTCCTGCGTACAAATAAACCGGTAACAATGCAAGATTTCCTATTTGAACCCGGAAAGTGAGAATCTGCATCTCATTTAAATTAGCACGGGAAGTGAAAGAACCAAACCACAACTCCCAAGCTATAGTAGAAACTGGATTTTAATATAATATTCAAGTCTAGCATTTGCTATTTACAACAAATAAATATTGCCCCTCCCCAACTGGTAAACTTTTTTTGTTTTGTTTTTGCCTTTTATACAAATATTCAACACCCCTCCCCTTTCCCCCAATTCTCCTTTCCCACTAACCCCCGTCTCGTCTGGTCTCGTGAAGCCCAGGGCGCAGTGGTGAATGGTACTTGCAGTATCATGAGATTCAGTGGCAATGGGGCTCCGCTGAGACCGTCCTCACTCACCGGGTGAAGAGTGTGATCTGTGAAAAGGGTCCCCCTCCTCCTCTCCTGGGGGGGGGGTTGGGTGGGAGAGGGGTGAGACTCCCTCGCTCTGTTGGCCCCGATGGTGGAATCTTTGGTGCAGCCTGGGAAAGGCTAGCATGGTGGAAAGGGAGCCCAGGACCCGAGAAGGGCACAGGCCGATGCCCGTGGGCATGAGGAGAGAAGTGCAGTGGTCAGACCCAGTGGATGAGTGGGTGCCCTGGGGTGCCCATGGGCACAGGTGGCAGTGACCCACACCTGAGCAGACATGAGGGAAGTGCACAGAGGGCAGTGCCCGGCGGCATGCAGGGCTCCATGCCCATTGGCAGCGCTCCTTGGCAGAAGTCAGCTAGTCCTCTGGTTCCAGAGAGTGGAAGGCACCTAAGGCAGCGAGTGGTCCACGGGAGGCCAGGTCAGCCTAGCAAACAGTAGGCGTCAATCCCAGCAGTAGGAGAGGTTCAGGGTGAAACTGGAGTCTGGGGGTGGCCTGAGCTGGCAGGTCAGGCAGATGGTGCCCGCCTGGCCTGGGCCATCGGAGTCTCTAAGTGCGTGGTTACCCAGCCAGCCAGCCCCTGACAGAGTGGTTCTGTGGCCGGCCAGTGCTAGGGACTAATCAGAAGATGCCCTTAGCAATCTTGAGTCCCTTCTGCTTCATGCGAGGAAGAGTTGAGCTGGCGCCATGCCTGACCTTTGCCCCTTTTGTGAAGGTCCGTTTCTTTAGGACAAAGTCATAGTTGGCAGTTGAGTTCATGGCATAGAACACGTTGGCGTTGTCAGGGATCTTCAGCTCTGGTGGGAGAGGGGCCGAGAGAGGGTCAGCGATGCTTACGTGGGCCTCATGGAACACCCACCACTTGAGGGCCCCCCTAGGGCAGGCCTGAGC